CAAAAACAACTGGAGAATGTGAAAGGTTTTAAATATTTGGGTAGCTTTTTAACAGATGATGGAAGGTGTACGTGTGAAATTAAATCCAGGATTGCCATGGCAAAAGCTGCATTTAGCAACAAGAAGAATCTTTTTATCAGCAAACTGGACTTAAATTTGAGAAAGAAACTAGTGAAATGCTACATTTGGAGCATAGCTTTGTATGGGGCTGAAACTTGGAAACTTAGGGCAGTAGATCAGAAACACCTGGAAAGCTTCGAAATGTGGTATTGGAGAAGATCAGTTGGACCGATTATGAGAAATGAAGAACTGTTAATTAGAGTAAGTGAGCAGAGGAATATCCTACACGAAATAAGAAAACGGAAGGCTAATTGGATTGGTCATATCTTACGCGGTAACTGCCTTCTAAAAGTTATTGAAAGAAAGATAGAGGGGCAGATAGAAGTGACTAGAAGACGAGGAAGAAGACGTAAGAAGATGCTGGATGACCTTGGGGACAGAAGAGGATATTTTCATTTGAAGGAGAAAGCTCTAGATCGCATCAAGTGGAGGAACTGTTTTGGAAGAGACTGTGGACCTGTCGTCTTGACAGATTACATATGAATGAATGACTTGGGAGAGTAGGGGGGACAGGGGAGCGAGTCCGAGAAGTCTCCGATTCTTCAACAGTATAAATTTGGCCAGGGCTTTATCGCCCATAAAAAAGGAGCGATTAAACAGCCGTTAGGCCAGACTCCTAGTATTATTAATGAGATGAAAATCATCCTCTGCAACAGAGATATGAAATGATGCATATGAATTATATTTAGTTTTTAGCCTGGTGCAAGCAAGGGAAGCAAGCGGCAATTGATCCTTTAGAGAAGTCTCAACACCAGATGTTACATCTGGGGAAAACCTAGAGACACAAAGGGACTTCATACGGACTTTCTTCTGTACAACAGAGAGAGAGAAGAGCTTCTCACTCCGATCATGGCAACCCTGCGTTTCTTGGAGGTATTGGCAACAGTGTTCACAGTGTTAACAAGAGATGGGGCTACGCGCTTCTTCTTAACTACCGTTACAAAATCACCACCGGAAGGGTTTTCACCCGTCACAACTGATGGCTCAGGTAGTGAATTCATACCAGGAGCTGTGGCCTTGGAGACACTAGGGTTACCATTCACTGCCCACACAACATCCCTGTATGATTTTGCTGTAGCTGTGGCAGATGTAGCAGCCTCACGCCGTGTTGATTGCACATGTGAGGGCGCCTGTTGAAGTTCACGCAGTTGCAACTTCATGGCTTCGTTATCGATTCTAAGCTGCTGAGATTCGACAGCATAATGACTCTAGATTGCACCATTCCCATGGTACAGATGCCATTGGTGCGAAGTATTTCCAGCTGCACGCTGAGGGAATCTTTATCCCCTATACACGAAGCAGTACACTCTAGCTCTGCAGAAATTGCTTCCTTCTGGTTACTCTTGCAGAAGGAATGCTCGTTTGCGGCATCCCCCGTTAGTCTAATACAACTGTCACACTTGTAAGCAGACTTACCGGTGGTTGCACTCACACTGGGCTCCGGCACACAATTAGGCAAACACTTACAATGAAAGCGCGAATCGCACAAGCCACAACGAATAGATTTTTGCTTTCCGTAAAACGGCCATACAAAGAGCCGACAGTGGTCCTTACCGGCAGCACACAGATGTACACTAGGCACTCAAGCGGGCGGGAGCACAAGCCCTACACGTCCGTTCAGCTCGATATAATAATAATAATAATAATATGCTGACAGGAATTATTGCCAGAAGAATTTCGTTATATTTTGAGGAGCACAACCTATTGCCAGAAGAACAAAAAGGATGTCACCCAGGAAGTAAGGATGCAAGGACCAGCTGCTGATATCAAAAGCAATACTTGAGGACTGCAGGAGGAGGAAAAAGAACCTAAACATGGCTTGGATTGACTATCAAAAGGCATTTGATAGAGTGCCCCACAGCTGGATAGAAAAGTAAATGGAACTAGTAGGAGTGAATGATAGGATAGTGAAATTCACTCCATGGATAAATGGAACACAAAGCTTCAGCTGAGAACAAAC